CTGCGACAGGCAATGTTGCGTTGAGCACATGGTCGCATCTGGTAGGCCGCTCCGGGTCAGTGCACAAGTAGAACGAAGCATGAGTGGGGGCAGTGCTGGTCCATGCTTCGCGGACGTGTGTTGGGTGGTGAGTGGAGCTGTGCTGCGGGGCTGATACGATGGGGTTGGGTGTCCAAAATGTGCACAGTACATGCGCCAGACAGTCAAGGCATGGCCGACACGGGAGGAGTGTTATGTGCCACAAGCGCAACGTGGGAAATTGTACGGTTGGAGCGAACCTTGGAGGGGGCCGATACTGCTCCAGGCTTCCTGGAACGGTTGTCAGAAGCCATGTTGCAATGTTATTGGAGACTAGCTGCAGATTGAAAACAACCAGTTGATATATACTATATAATATAATATATATATATATACACACCTAGAATCCGTTTGACACCTTTTTTGACAGGAAAAGGCCATATTTGGGGTAGTTGACCCTCCAAAACAGGGGTCACTCAGGTTCATCCAAAAGCCAACCCGACGAAAGACGGAACTGCCACGCGCCCAACGCCACACGTGGCCCAAACTGGGGATCCGTCGGAGACCGTGCGGCGCAGAGTCGGACGGAGCCCTACGCCAGGGGCTGGGGAGGGAAGATGGAGGGGAGCAAGACGGGAGGCGACGGGGCTGGGGATGGAAGATGGAGGTGCATGGGTGGAGGGTAGCGCGACGGAAGGCGCGTGGGTGGGACGGGAGGCGCGCCTTCCGCGCTCACAGTGATGACAACATCACCTGGCAAGCTCATCTGCAAAAGTCCGGCATCCTGGTGGGGTCGGGGCTGGGAGGGAAGATGGAGGGGAGCGAGACGGGGGGCGCATGAAGATGGAGGGGAGCGAGACGGGAGGCGCATGGGTCAGGAGGGAAGCAGGAAGGGAGTGGGAGGCGCACATGGGTGTGGACGGGGCTGCGTGGCTTGGGTGTGGACGGGGCTGGGGAGTGCATGGGTGTGGACGCTTGCGCGGCTGATATGCTAGTTACGAGGACATGGTTGCACCACAAGCATCATTGCAGGCTGCTCCGGGTCAGTGCACAAGTAGAACGAAGCATGGGTGGGGGTAGTGCTGCTCCATGCTTCGCGGAAGCCCGTTGGGGAGGTGAGTGGAGCTGTGTTGCACCAGAGCCGCGATGCTTGAAATATCATAGTTGCCACGAAGCCTGGAGGGGGCTGATGCTTCGTTTTGGCCTGCTAATTTGTGTTTGTTTATTTTTCCTGGGTTGTGCGCTTCTTTTTGCTTTTGGGTCCGCGGGCTCACCTTGTTCTTCTTTCGACATTGAAGTGGACCCTCGCCGCCCCCCAAACTAGAAAAGAGGCTTCGAAGTGGCCGCACCTCGACGCGCTTGCGCTTTTGGTCCGTTGGACATGTTCGTCGCTGGGGAGTTGATGGAAGAAAGGCCCGAGAAGAAGCCCAGCAAGTGTCGAGGGTGGACACCCAATGTATACCTCTTTGTGGGTCCTGGTTGGTTTTGCATTCATTCTTTCTATATATTCTTTCCTCAATTAGACACAACAAAATCCCCATGGGGTAAATCTAATCTGGGGAAGTCATGGAATGATATGGAATGTGTTTGATTTTTCCCCGACTCCTTAAGCACATCCAGTTGTTCCGTTCCGTTTTTGGTTTTTCAAACATTTTCAGTATGTATCGGACCACGTGTGATCCGACCCCGGATGGGACCGCTACTCAGTCGGACGCCGTTCGGCAGTTCCTTGCAGCCTTGTCTTCCGGAGGCAGAGGCATCACCCCCAAGAGGCTGCATGGTCCGCCCCCCAAAAACGCCCACGTTTTGTCACTCCAGACCTCGTGTCCTTCACTCCCGACCGGCTATCCCAAGGCCTCCCCCGTCGGCCTCCCCGTCGTCAAGTCCGCCGGCGTCCGGCGCCAGGAAGCGGATGGACGGTCGATGGCAGAGATCCTGTCTCGGATGCTGGTGGGGATGAGCTGGGATTGGTGGGGATGCAGGCTGAAGGGGAACTTGGACCAGTTTTTGAGTCACTGAGCCAAAGAGATCTCTGTCTTCTTTGTCAGATACCTTAGAATGCTTGGTTCAGTGTCTCGACGTGCAGGGTTTTATTTCTTTTACTCTGTGTGTATCCTGAATCTCTTCCAAATATTCACCGGTCAGCCAGTGTCTCGAATCCGATTCTGTTCGCAGGAACGACGCCAGGGTGGGAACCCAAGCACCTCGACTCCGTCACCTCGCCGCAGCGAATCGCCGCAAACGCTGCGCCGAACGGCCGCGAATCGCCAGGTGGAGGAAGCGCTCGCCCGGGGGTCCAACGACAACATCAGCTGCCTGGTGATCTTCCTCTAGGCCAGGCACGACCGACTCCCGCGCCGGCCGCCGAACCGTGAGAGTACGCGCGTGGAACCGGCGGGGTTCCGCGGTTTCCATCCTGGTCTTCTCAAGAGAGTGTGGGGAACACAGGAGTGGAGACCTGAAACATCCTGAAACACTCTATATAATCTGCAAAGAACGGATCTACTTGGTGCCTCATCCATTAAACTCCCTCAAATGTCCTGCCTGGTTGATTCTCCAGCTTCTCAATGCTTCTCGCATACATTCCTGCAGACCCAACTTCTGCGTTCGGCTTCAGCGACTTCACGACTGCAAGTGAACCAGCTTGAGCAGCTTTCCGATCTGAACCAGGGTTCAACAAGCGAGGGTCGGGCGAAGGGATGTGATGTGGCTGAGAATTCATGCGAAGGGAGAACATGGGAGAACTGGGGAACTTGATACAGTGATCCCCATGTCGATATTGCTGGTTGATGTATGTGTGTTGAGCTTCACACCCTTTTGGGGATGATGAATGGATTCTACTGACTCTATCATAAAAGACCTGATCAGATGGCATGTCACCCATAGCGACCACAGCTAAGGACCCAACGAACGGGTAGAGAACCCATCAATGCCAAGGCACTTGAGATGCTTGGTCCAAAAAGCGACCTAGCATGACTAAAAGCATACTATAGCAATAGGATCACAACTAGGCGCAACATCACGTTCCTTTTACCTGAAGCTGAAATATACAGATCACTCTGACGAACACATCACATGGATCGTGGAACACAGGCAACTGGAAGACCATTTTGCTCTATAAACAAGGGGTTTTCAACTTCCATGAGTGGGAGAGTTATAACATGTTATATAACCATAGTTAATTATATACACATATTAATCATAGTTCAATGAGCTATTTTTTAAAACATAATATCAGTTAATCATAGTTCATCGAGCAAAATGCGGCTCACATCGCTTCAGCTCCAACCCTCACCCTTCGCCCGCTCATGTTCGACGACGGAAGCACCACCAGCTGCGTATCATGCGGAGTCCGCACGAAGATGCCAATGATTCCCAAAAAAGGAGCCGCAGAAAGGGGCAGAAGGGGGAGGAACCAATGGGCTTGCCAGAAGCTTTCTGGGGAAACTGACCCGAAACACCACCCATGTGAGTTGGAAAGCATTCCGACACTTGGAGTGAGTTTGTTTGGGGCAGGTGTGACAGACCTAGTAGGGGAATGCCATTGTTAGCTCCGAGTCTCCTCTTCCAGAGGCGATTTTTGGGTGCACTGCAGATGTTTCATTGGTACGAATATTTGGATTCTCAGGAATACCATTTGTTTCGTGCATTCGCTTGGGTTCAGCTCCGAGTCTCCTAATTTAGGTGGATCCGCCGCCCGCGCGAGCGCGGATGCGGCCGAGACACTGTCTCTGGTGCCCCTTCCTGCGATCTCAGGTGGATCAAAGTCCTTCGTTTCCCAGAATTGATTTCAGAGGGAACCCACAGTTTTGGGGTTGAAAACAAGGGGGGGTTTCCGGTGGATGGTTCCCTTGAACGTCTTTAGACATAGGTACTGTATTCAAAGAATACCAGGGCCCCCCTGTTTGTGGTGTTCAATTATAGCTCCTTAGAGGTTTTTCGGGATGTCCATGAACCACCCCAAACAGCGGGCCCTGGTTCTCCATCATATTCCATCTGATCCCCACCTCTTCCACTCCCCACCTCCATCGGCCCTGGTGGATCGGAGCCGTGAAGCATGAAGCGGCCCCATTAGCGGCGAGCCGAGCTCCGGCTGCTCCGATCATAGGGTCCCTCCCGACCAATGAGAGAAGCATAGATGAACACCGGAACACCGGTCACCCTCGGTGACGCGGTTTCTGAAGCTCGCTGTTTCTGAAGCGTCAGTGACCCTTATTTAAAGCTCCCTGGTTCTGACCAGTCACTGACCAGCCGACGTTCGTTCGGGTGACGAAGAGGGATCCTGAAGTTCGGTCGAAAGAAGCTGGATTGTTGGCTCTTGATTTGATTCGATCACTAGATCATCATAGATCATCCACTGTTGTAACGGGAGGCATCCACGGTTGTTCGGATACGGGTGAAGACCCCGGGAGCCAACAGAAAAAAAAACACTCTGAGGGGCGAACCCTCCATGACATGCACAGCTGGTGAAACCCGGCTACTCATCGAAGTGACGATGTCAAAGGACGTATGATGTCAAAGGTACTGTAGAACTTATGACCAACTTGCGATGCATCGCACAAATGGTGCTTGGCCACCTTGCTGGCTCGCAGTTTTGAGGGTTCTTTATTTCATTTTATTTCCATGGTGCAGGCAAGAAAGCTTGACAGACAGAATGACCCGAGAAGACATGTGACATGGGTGTCAAAACCAACCGTCAAAACTATGGGTGCGCATTGCCAGATAGGTATCCTCTCAATCCTTACCAACTGGAACTCGCCTGACGTGAGCTAGGGATTCTCAGTGCAAACTTTTTTTGCTTTGACCTCCATAACTAGGCCCCTCCTGAGCTTGCACTAGACCACTAGGCCTTCAATTATACTCTATATAACTTACTTACTCTTACTCTTGATGCAAGCAAGGTAGACTCAAAGTTCCGTGCATTCGAATCAACTGGAAGTCTGAGGATTGGCTCTGTTCTTGCCAAAAAAACGTCCTATATAACAAGGTAGACTTTGCAGGTGGTCTTTGTTTCACGGATGAGCAATGAACCGGACCCACCGCGAGAGGAGGACGACCAGCGTTGTTCGTCGAGATTCGAGATTGTTTGGTTTTGACGTGGTTCCAACATGAGACTGACATACTCATGTTGGAATTGGCCAAGTGAAAGGCTTTGGCAATTCTTTTCCACTTAGATTTTCCTTCGATTCATTCATTTGCTTTCCCTCAAATCCTAAAAGGCCTGGTGCTTTTCCTGGAATAAAAATCGATCAACCCGATTGGTTGGGCCTCTTCCTATAAACACACACACACAAACACGTTGGGTTTGTCCCTGCCTATCCTATTGCCTGTAACAGTCACTAAACAATTATCCCACTGTTACTGGTAATAGGATAGACCCAACGCACACAAAGTTTTGGATCCAATGTTCACTCGCTCCTTGTGACTGTGCGTTTAGGTGATTTTCTTCCGCAGATTTCTTTGCGCTGAGCCATTCTTCCTGACAATTCTTGGGTATGATACATATGGATTGCCATGCGTTTGCAAATGTTTAATCTCATAAATCTTATAAAAAATTATAGGTACTATCCCTTGCATTTCAGGGCTTAAAACGCTCCTTTTGGGCGGATTTCAGGCTTTACAACCGTTGGTTTTTCCAGTCCTGGATGAAAGCCTATCCCTCGGGGCCTGGCCATGATGCCGCGTAGTCCGTGCGGAACCTGGCAGGATGACGCTGACCTCGAGGAAGAGGTCTGGGTGGGGCACCCCTATCACCCCTATCGACTCCGTGGGACTGCCAGTGAGACTGTCTGTCTCAGTCACACCACCCACCCCTGGCCGGTTTTGAAGGCAGTCCGGACTGGCAGTCCCATGGAGTGTTTGGGGTCAGGGGGTCGAATGGCGCGGTCGACCGCTGCCGTCGGACGCTGGTCGTCTCCGGATGAGCGATGCTGTCCTCGGTAAACCGCACGGATTGGGAATTCGAACTCAGGTAGTCAGGTTTTTGGCGGTATTTTGGAAAGTTAAGTATATATATGTGTATAGTCAGTATAGTATAGTCCGTGAAAGATCTCCAAATTGGAGGGGTCCTGGCCCAATCTTCATCCAGGAGTCCTTGGTATCCTGAAAGGTGTCACACCATGTGATACACTGGCTGGAGAGGAGGTTCGTTCGGCGTTCGGACATGGGCCATGGTTTGTGGAGGCCCCGCAGGGAGTGTTCTCAGCCTGGGACGTCCTGACTTCCAACACGGGTGTTACCGTGGGACTTAATTCCAACGGTCACCATGCCACCAACGCCACCAAGTAACCATCGTCACCATGCAGAACCGAAGCAATGAGCTTCACAGAACCATTTTCTTACCACCAAAAATACACAGAACCATAGTCACCATGAGATGGAATCGATGAGTGATTTTCGTTCCTCGTTGCCCCTTGGGCCATCTGACGGCAGACCGCATTTGACCCGGCGAATCCCTTGAAATCGCGACCGGTCGGTCTTTCTCCGCCGTGGACTGCAGAGGTCGCCGTGCGTCAACGACGGCGGGGTGGGTTGGGTTAATGGGCTTCACGAATCCCTTGGATCGTCGGCAGTTGAACAAGGTGCCATGTTGGAACCATTGGAGACCAACTACCAGGGGCCCCACATGGCCCATCAAAAACCTGGGTTTTCCCTAGCAAGAACCATGGTTTTGTATGTGAAAACATGTGAACACCGTTGTTTTTCATAGTTTGTGGGGCCCCTGGTAGTCCCTTTTGGTTCCAACATGTTCCAACTACATTCGATAGGTGCACTCTCGGGACTCTGAGACTGGACGCAACTGCGGCCCTGCTACAAGGCAGGCGTGATCTTGGATGAAGCCCAGTTGAACGAGGCGGGGCCAAGGCCCAGTGGTTCTCGGACCGAGAATCTTCGCCATGCCGAAGGTGGAGGCCATTTGGTCCCAAGCTTTTTGGATGTCTAGAGTCTAGACTTTCTTTTTGTGTGTGTTCCAGTCTGTGTTGCTTGGACCACGGGGCGATTCTCCCCCCTAATTCAAAGCACTGTGGAGACCGGGGACATCCTCATCTCCTTCGATGCGACGCCCGTTTCGAACACGTTCGAACTCCGCAGGTCCAGGTCCCCTGAGAAGAACAGTGCATGGAAAGCAATCTGCAGCAAGCATTATTGGAGCGGTGTTGGAGAAGCTTTTGGAGGTTCAGTGCTTCTGAGCTTGTGAATTCACCTCAGATGACCAGTCGACTGATTCTCAATGGAAGTACCTTCAGGTCCTTCGAAAGCACCGAGCCGCTCACCACGTATCGGAACACACCACGTACACTCCCGAAAACAAACATAGACCCTGACAACGGCCCCCCCCGGGTCCGAGTGTTTTCCTTGACCAACCAGTGGCTTTTAGGGTCCATGGGATCGTCTTCCAGGGTGTATCGCTTGTGGTGTCAACACCCGACGCGTCGGGCCTGTTCCGACCTTCCGTGATGCGGACGACGCGACGCGGACTGGCGCGGTTGTCCAAGGTTTGCAGGACACATTCCTTCCACATGGTTGGACAGCCCTGACGACTCAAAGAGGACCTGATTTTAGGAAGATCGTGTGAACATCCACCCCCTCAGCCCCAGGATGACCCTGACTTCGAGCCAATCGAAGAGAATGGCGAAGAGGAACCCCCCCCTTGCGGGGGCCGCGGGTTTCGCGGATGTTGGTCAACATCTTGGTTTGATGCCTTTTCGCATGTCTGGGGGAAGCTCAAATTGTATCAAATTGTGGAGGCACTGATATACATGAATGTGTATACCCGTATTGGGTGAAAGGTGTCACAGCAAACACCACCTCAGCCACAGCTATCCGGATGTCATACGGGACACTCAGGGTAAGATATGATCAGTACATATCAGTACTATTGGCACACTGGCTTTGATGCCTCCACTCCAAACCTCGTTTTCCACGAACTCATGGGCGCGGCTCCCACGAACATGACATCGGTCTGCGGGGTTGTTTCCGGCTTCGTGTTGGCCGTTGGCCGTTCCTAGGTGGCCGCCATTTCGCCAAGTCATCACGGCCGCTGGGGCCACTACCGTAGGTCCCTGGAAGTCCCTTGAGTCCCATCGGAAGTCCCCTGAGTCCGCTTGTTCCCGAGCCGTTGTAAACATGTCAGATGTCAATGCAGGTCAGGTTAAAAAAGAAAGAACACATGTGGATGGGGCACTCCATGATGCTTTCATGGTTTATTGTGGTGGAATATGGTGGATTTGAGTGCAAGAACCTTGACGCCGGACATCTCGTGTGTATGAATCCGAAATGAATCCCTCGTGAGTGGGACATGCCAGAAGATGGCATGGAGATGGTCTTGGCAATCCACACAGGACCACTACCAGTGATGCTTCAGTTTATTTATTTAAATGGTGGAACCCCTTCCAAGCGTGAAAAGAACGATTCTGAGGGGTTTGGCTGTGTTAGACTTCAAGGAACTCACCTCAGGGTACTTTCGGTGTCCTTTGTCAATCTCAGGACGCAGCAGATCAGTTAGAGCCGCCCTTCGAAGAGAATGAGAATGGCGAGGAGGACTTTGGAGACTGTGAAGGGACGTCCAAAGAAAGGCTTGCAGTTGCCGATCCACCCACTGGGCCACGCGAGGTCCACAATTCCATGGTACCTGGTACCGCCGTGCTTCTCATCTCATCAAGCTTTGCCAAATCTCCACGAACTTGGGAGGCTTTTGAGGGGTGTGAAGACCTCACACCAGAATATACCAGAACATTTTAACCTCAGACTCAGACAGTATCTGCGATAGTGGAGTGGAGGGTGCTTAGCCTGCTTAGCTGAGATAGGGCACTACACCCAATCACTAGTGGGCAGGGCAAACGAACGATGCGGGAGTGATGAGGAACTGAGAGAACCTCGGGTTGCGTGCTGCTGCAGGACAAAGCAGCCGATGTGGCCGATGTGGCTGATGCCGAGTTCGAAGCACCCCTCCAAGAGAATGGCGAAGAGGACCCGTCGCGAGGGGAGATGGACTTGGATATATGATGATATATGGGATTTTTGTTCCGGACGAAGAGGATGTTCTTTTGGGGTGGAACATACACATCCATTACCTTGGCATTTCTTCCACTGTGCTGTTCAAAGTGCCATTTGCAATGTATGAATCATCCAAATGGTCCGCCTGGAACGGCAGGGTTATTCTCAATTCAGCGAATCACCGACTGCGGGTTCCAAGTATACCTTCTGAGGTGGTTGGTGGGTTGTTTAGATGTTTAGAGTATCAGAATATGTTCTGGTGGTGGGTACAAGGAGCCCTATGGGACTGTACTACCATAGATTTATCTCCTCAAATGGGGGTTCTTTGACACCGGACCCGCAGGTGTGTCGACCCCGGCGCGGTCCTCCGAGAACGGACCTGCTGGCCACTGGGAGATGCTGGCCACAAGTCGCCAGAAGCACTCCACGGAGCTGATGACAAGCAGAATGGTATAGATGTGTAACCTGAAGAGCCGAATTCTGTTCAAAGGTGATCAATTCGAAGGCATTGTTATATCATGTTATATCTTAGTTGTTTGTGTGCTTTGAAAAGCTCTGGAAAAGGCACTTGGAGTTCCATTCTCCGCTAAGATTCATTCTCAAGAGATCTGGAGGAAGACTTCCTAGTATCATCCCAAAACATCCCCAAAACATCCCAAAACCTACAATTTGGGTGGTTGAAACCTGTTTAACATGACTGTAAAGGTTCAAAGAACCGGCGGCAACGACGTCATGTCCATTTTTTTGTGGGTCGTGAGTCGGTCACGGTCCGATGCTGTCGCGGTCGAGGATCACTTGGAGGTACCGGAAGAGAAGAGTCAACAGGACGAGAGGGCGTGCTTGTAGTTGGGTGCTTTTCTGAGGTGGTGAAGTGAGTGAAGTGAAGCATCAACATGCTTTTTCAGGGTCCAATCTGAGTCCAAGGCGCCGATGACGACTTTTCAAGGTTGAGACCACTGAGAGTTTGCAAGATTTCAAGACCTGGGCATACCTTTGATCCTTTTGCACGTAAGTCATGAAGCTTGTGACATCTTGTGAATCATCACTCCTGAATTGTATTGAACTGTTTGTTCGACATGTCAAAGCAGCATCATTTATTAATTTCATGATTTAGATATATTTGTACCTTCAAAGTGACAAGACCGTCAAGACCGTGTTTCTGGAGAGTGCTTAGTTGCCACTCTACTGTTGGCTGCCACAATTTTGGATCAAACCAATGCACTTGAAACTCCAATACCCTCCCCCCACATCCCCCACATCCCGCGTTGTCATCATACTTTCTCAATCATTGCGGTGTATTATACAGACATTCCCTCAGTTCCAAGACATGTTGCGAAGGGTCAGCTCTGCAGGAAGAGACGTCATGACCGAAGACGCATTGTTTTCCATCTGAAATTCAGGTCAACTGACTCAGGTCACCAAGAACACAGAGCTGCTCAATGCAGATAGCAAGCTGTCACAGTCTTAAAAGAGAGCTGGGGCCCTGGGGGAGACCAGTGAGATTGCGAACTCACTCCCTGCGCTTCCACTCCCTCCCGCGGGACGAGCGCGCGCTGCCATGACCTCGTCCCGCGCCAAGCTGTCCATGTCGCCGACCGCCGCGACCGCGGCGGGAGCCGTGCGTAAAGTGGCCGTCTTGGGTGGAGGTGCGGCCGTGGTGGTCCAAAGGTAGGTCCGGGCAGAGGTCGGACGGACACCAGGGTCTCCGTAAGTAATTAGCTTGAAGACATGAAGACTTTTATGGCCAGCTTAGAAGCAGGAAGCTTTTCTCATTACCGACTGGACACATGACTGGACACATGACCGACACGACCTCACCACGAGTGACTGACAAACCACAACGACGAGTGGCCAGGTGCCTTTGGGACAGCGATGGCCAACCATTTGGCCAGCAAGGGCATCATCGTGCAGCTCTGGGCACGCGAGGAGGAGGCACCCAGTTACACAGTTCAGCTGTCGATGGCGCCCTGCAGATTTGACACTGACTGACAGGGTTGATTTGGCCATGTTCCTTTGCAGGTTGCCATGTTGGACTCTCCCGGACCTCCGTCTCCTGCACACACGCGCCTATCGCTTTGCGCGCGCATGTTCTGCAGCGCAAGTGCGTGGAAAAGCGCGGGACTGAGCGCTTTTCCCAAAGCGGTGTAGCGAACGAACATCAGCGGGGCAGACTGATGTCTGATGCGAGACCTGGGTCTCCAGACCTGGGTCCTGACTGTATAGGGTAGTCGAACGCCCGCCAGGACACCACAGGATGATGATCCAAAACCGGGGTTGGTGAGATCCAAACCGGACGGGTTGGTGAACCGACCCCGCACCGTGCTGCTTCTCCGTGCTTCTCGGGTTTGCAGTGAGTGAAAACTGCACGTTGTGCACTCGGTTGGACCAGGTTTGACATGGATTGACTTGGTCCATTGGGTCCGAATGGCAGGGCTTAATTATAGAATATTGGTTCACATATTATATATATATATATTTTTAATTAAACACTTACAGTAATATTAATATTGATCAACATTCGATTAGCAATTCAGATGATCGTATAAGGTATTACAAGATTATATATGATCATCGAATTGGCCACCTGTATGAGCAGGGGAAGCCCCTCATTGTTCCGAGGTCCCTTGGGGAAGCCCCTCATTGTTTCGAGGTCCCTTGGGGAAGCCCCTCATTGTTCCGAGGTCCTTTGAGCAAACGACCGAAATCAGAAAAAAAAAGGGTGTGAGAGAGGTTGATTTCATTTGATTTACATGACCATCCCTCCAAAAAGGGACAAGGAAGTGGACCATGCCCCTGTTTTTCGTCCGAACCGTCCGCGGTACTCCGAACCGTTGCGGTGCTCCGGGTCCGTGGCTCTCGTTGCCAGGTGGTTCAGAGTGTCAACGGGAAGCATGAGAACAGCATCTACTTGGCAGGACCGGGAGGGCCGTTCGACGTATTCCAAGACATCCGCCTTGACCAACGAAGTAACCTCAGGCCGCCCGCCCGCCCTTGCGACAAGATCGATCTCTGCAGGGTTCAGGGTTGAAGGTGTTGCAGGTTCTTCATGGTTGTTCATATATATTATTGCAAAGACTTGCGGAGCTAAGATAGATCTTATTGTTCCACCTCTACCTGGGATGATTCAACCTACTGACTAATATGGTTCAAGTATGTTCAAGTGGGATGATTTAAAACAGTGAACATATTGCTCAAGTCAGTTGACACCACCAAGCCATGTCTCTTCGAGGATCCAAGAATCCACGAAACGAGTTCCAGCGTGGACAGCTCAGCTACAACATTCACTGATTCTGCAAGTTTGTTCTTAGCTGTTCAGAACAGCTCACGTGCGGTGCCATTTTGGTGGAAAGATGATTTTTTAGTCGATTGACATCAACCAAATATGCTTGCAACTAGCACTGCAAGTGGAACAGCATCTGGAGAAGGACAACTGATTCATTGGTTTTCAAGTTCCGCTGATGTTGACGCAACAGCGCCCAAGGCTTGGTTGATCTTGGTGTTTATATATCTATATTATATCTATACATCATGTGTTTTAAACAATTGAAGGTACGAATCCATGGGATGGTTTACCATACCGTTTCCATCTCCCAACATCCATGTTCCCAACCGGTGGACCGGGGGGCGCTCTTCGTCATCCCTCTTTTCGAGGAATCCCTCTGAGCGAGAAGGTCGTGGCCACGAGTAGCGTTGCTGAGGCGGTCAACGGTGCGGAGCAGCACCCCGACGTCGTTGGATGCCGAAGGGATCCGATGTGCTGTCACAGGAGGGAGAGGGTGGTTAACCAGTGGGGAACGACCTATGGAGCTGGCTAAAAGAACCTCCGTCCTACATCAAATGGAATATTCTTTTGGATAATCAAATTAATACGTGACAATTCACAAGACATGGTTTGCATGGGCATGGCATGGCTTCAATCATCTTCAAACTAAACGCCCATCAGTGCATAGTAGAGATCACAATGTGCGTAGACCTATACGTAGACCATTCTACGCATGCCTCTTCTGAGATACGCTACGAAAAAGACACGCTTCTACATAGAAGGTTAAGCGGTTAAGCATGTTAAACTCAATGGAACCCAAGGCCCAAGCTGATGTTTCCACAAGCAGGCTGAGGAGTTGATTCTGTTTGTGCCTTCCCTTCTCAACATTCTCAAATCTCAGACTCCCAAGACTGGAAGAAAACAATTTGTCCAATGCTGGTGAGAGAAATCCTGCATCCTACCCTCAGCTCATTCAGACGATCGTGGGCGAGGAAGAAACCCGAAGACAAAGGGCAGGATCGTTGTAACACAACCAAAGTACTGATCACTTTGGTTGATGGTTTTCAGATACAGTGGTTTCAGAGTAGTTGCTACAAGAGTCCAGTGCTTTTGGGGTGGACCTGAAGGACATCTTGGGGTGCCAGTGCCATTTCTCACCTCTGAAACCACTGTCCTCCTCGATGGCTTCTCCTTGCGCTCACCGACGGCAGGTCCCGTCTCGTCGCCCGGACTGACGGTGTAGTCGGGGTTCCCCCGCGGCTCGGGCTCTTCAGGGTCTACTTGATCATTCCGACGCCGTTCATTGCCAAATGGCTGGAGCAGAACCAGAGCTTCCTACCCTGGTGGGTTCCGCTGGTGTGTTGCAGCAAGGGCATCTTGGACAGCGTTCTCAACGCATGTCATGAGCATTTGAGGGTCTGATCACCAAGAGAAACGGCTCACCACGAAACCAGAGTGGAATGTGGAACCGGCTTCCTTGTAGCAACGGGCTTTGGGGCAGCCCTTGTGGCGGTGTTATGTTTCAGAGTTGCACCCTCTTTGCACACACATCTTCTGCCCATTTTGGGCATGTGTAATTAGGATTGCTATGTCCAGACTATGTGGGTGTGTATTGCAATAGGGGAACCTGCTACCAATGGCTTTTGGTCTATTTTCCTTCTTCCAGGGGTCGTTGCCTAGGGGAGGTCTCCCTATTTGAGCGTCCCGCGGACCCCATGGTGGCAGGTCGGACACGTTGTAAGATGCCCCGATGTTGGACCCGCCTGTGTCGTACGAAAGATCACCGGGTTGCTGTTCGTACGAAGTAGCTGCAGGATGGCTGAAAGATCAGCAGGGAAGGTTGACCCTCTGATATGTAACTTAATGTTCTATAGGACTTCTTTGGGAGTTCCATTCCCGCTACTTGTATTCCTGCGGAGCTCGACTCAGGCATTGAGCAAGAAAGCCTTCGAACCCCGTATGAAATCTTGGTGGACGAGCTGCCCGGGAAGTACCACTCCAAGTTGGCGGTGGTCAGCGGCCCCTCCTTTGCCAAAGAGATTGGCGTGGGTTTACCCACCAGTGTGACCTGTGCAGCGCAGGACGCCGAGGCAGGGCCCTGCAGGGTGAAAGTCCATGTTTGACGGTTTTGGGTGTGTAATCGGGAGATCCCGAGCCAATGGGTTTTGGATGGTTTGGTCCATTTCCGCTCTTCCAAGGGGGTCGTTGCCTGGGAGGTCTCCCTATTTTTGCGCACCCATGTTGAGCTCCATCTTCGTGTGTGCATAGTGCAGAGTACTGCAAGAGCGATTCCTCCCAAAGATCTCTGGAAGAAAGAAATAGACCGAACCCATCCAAAAGTCATTGGTTGGGAGTCTCCCTACTTTAGTACACATAGTACACAGCCATCTTTGAGATTACTACTCACATTGTTGGTTGGTTACAGTGACCCTCAACTTGAAATTGAAAAAGAAAAATAAGTGAAGCATCAACATTTGCATACATTTGCAATCTTCTCCATCCAGAGTTGTCCTGGAGTATAGTACAGTATAGATACTGATAGACAGTGACAGAAGACATGCTA